TTCCTCTCTGTCAACTGTTCCTTTGCTGAGGCTTCCCACTCTACTCAAGAGAAGACTTGGGCTACTGCTTTGCTTCCTCTAGGCTGTGGAGGCGTCTTCCAGGTCAGGGTTTTCTGCCAAGTGCAGCTTTTGGCTGATGTATCGTATTAAGCGAAAACAGAGGAGCCAAGATCCCGTCCCCTCCCCAGGTCCTCCAGACTGAGGCCACATCTGTGTTAACAGTTACTCCAGTCCCCAGAAGCTTAAATGTGTAATTCCCATACTATACCCTCTGACAGAGAAATGAATGAGAACAAAGTCACCCCTTCATAAAAAGGGCACAGCAGACTTCCAGTCTGTGGCGTGTTGTCTTCGCATGGTCCCGGGAGAGCTCCCGCGGAACCGGCGAATCTCTGGGTCTCCGTTTTAAAGCCGAAAAGCCAGCGCTGTCCGAAGACATTTCCGTGGTCATGTGGCCGGCATGACTAAACACCAAGGCTTTTCACTAGTGGGCTTTAAGCAGCCAGTGGGGAATCAACGCTCCTCCCTTCCCAGCACTGTAGTCATTGTAAGATCGTTGTAGGCATCTGGAGTTGAGTCACAGAGTGCCAGCCTCATGTATACTCTGACCACTGTCCACCATGGAGACACAACATCTTTCCTCTCAAGAAGAATGCCCAGTCCACCCCATCCCCACCCTGGCCACTAATGCCCCCCGCAGCACAAACTGGGGCCCCCTTTGGTCCCCACAGGAAGGATACATGGAGTTGCTGAGCTCTTCCAACTGCAAATGAAAAGAAGAAAACTGTCAACAAAAGCAAGCAACTTCAGAACTAGCCAAGTTAGGGTTGCCAACTCTTCCACGTAAAATTCCTGGAGAGTTGGGGGCTGAACCTGGGAAGAAGCTTGGCAGGGATGTGACGCTATAAAGTCCAACCTCCAAAACAGCCATTTTCTTCAGGGAAAACGGTCTCTGTAGTCTGGAGGTCAGTTGTAATTCTGGGAGAAATCCAGGCCCCACCTGGAGGTTGGCAACTCTAAGCTGAAGCAACCAGGTGCCCTAGGAACCAAGGACTGGGAGGGGCAACTGTGCAGGTGGAAGACAAGTGCCAAGCAAGCTCAAGGACAGTCCAGTCTTGAGCACCAAAGAAGGAAGACTCAGGGGCTAAAAGAAAGCAGTTTGCACAGGCAAAGAACCACATTCCACAGGTGGTGTAAAAATCTTGTCATTTAGCTAGCTTTAAAACTTGATAGGAAAAACAGAGCTTAACCAAAGAAGTGGCCCTGACAGGGGTTCTCTAGGGAGGAAGCTTCATAAATGAAGCCACACCGGGGTTGGGGGAGGACCTTATCCATATAGCACTAGAGGCACTCAGAGCAAAGCCTGTCCTCAAGAACTCAATGGGCAGGTGATCTATCATTTGCAAGTATATCTTCAACAAAAGCTAACTGCTATGTGTCATGGAATATTCACAAACATTATAACAGCTTAGGAAGATTAAGTGTTTAAATCTCAAATACTTACAGTCAGGGGTCGTTTCGTAGAAAAAGAGCTAGGGGGACTCATTAGCATAACTCATTAGCATATGCCACACCCCCTGACATCACCGGAAGTGTGTCGTAAGGCCACACACCCCGCCCCCAACGGTCCTGGCCGCCGCCGCCGGCCTTCCAGCTCCACTGCCGAGCCCCATGAGGGGCCCGGCGGTGGACCTGCAAGGCCGGCGGGAGTGCAAGGAAGCCCTGCAAAGGCCCTCCCTGGCCCCAGGCAGGCAGGGGTGAGGAGAGGCAGGGAAGAAGCAACTTACCCTCCCTCTTCTCCTGCCTCCTCCTGGCTGAATGAGGGCCGGAAGTGGGGCGGCCGGAAGCAGGGGGTGGGGCTTCGTCATGTGCCCCGCCCCCCGTACCTCACCCGGGGGAACTGCGTTCCCCCCCGAAATGACCTCTGCTTACAGTCAACTAGCTATATAGATTTCTAGAACACCTTGGGTAAAATTTGTGACTCAGTTTTCCGGCTAAAAGAGAAGATGGGAGAGAGGAAGAACAAGCAGAAAAGGAAAGGACCAAGATCCTGGGCAACTCTTACATTTGTCAGTAGCTGATCAAGATTCCTGTCAGCCACAGTTTTCTTCTGATCCTCAGCGAGCTCTTCTACGTAAACATCTAAGCTGAAGTGCAGACGGGCCAATTTCTCCTGCATCTCCCGAACGTGCTCCAATTGTTCGAAAGAACAGTCCTTTCCTGTGCCAGTCCAGAGGGAGAACAGGGTCGTTACCCTATGCAGTATATCCAGGAGATTCCAAAATAAACCTCTAGCTTTGCTTCCCTCACAGGAAGAGTATAATCCTGGTGGGAAATGCAATTCCCAGTGGTGACCTTTGGACCTTTTTGCACCGAGTACACTGATTCGAAATGGCGATTTTGCGTCAGTGTTAAAAAAGTGTTTTCTGCCATTCAGTAAAGCAGAGTCGCAGTAAAAGCTGAGTAGCAACTAAAAATTGAGGTCAACTTCAAAACCCATGCATTGAACAGAGGACCAGCAATGGATTTTATACTACAGTTGCTTTAAAAGATGGACAGTAAATTCAATAAACTTCATCATGTGAGACAGGGGCTAGAAGACTGGTCTGGGACTGGAAAGATCTGGGTTCAAATGCTTGCTCATCTGTGAAGCTCAGTGGGTGACCCTGGACCCAGCCTACATTGCAGGGCTGCTGATAGGGGGAAAGGGGGAAAGAACCCACATGAGCTGTCCCAAGGTCCTTCAAATGAAAGGAAAGATACAAATGTGAAAACCAGTTAGGTTACTGTTGATTGCCTCCATGAAGTCGACTTATACTGAATCGGACCCTTGGTCTACTCTATTGTCTACTCAGACTGGCAGTGGCTCTCCAGGGTCTCAGGCTGAGGTCTTTCACATCACCTACTGCCTGGTCCTTTTAATTAGAGGTGCTGGAGACTGAACCTGGGACCAACCTTCTACATGCCAAGCGGATACTAACTAGGGATGCCAGCCTCCAGGTGCGACCTGGGGATCCCCTGGAATTACAGCTCATCTCCAGGCTACAGAGATCAGTCCCCCGGGAAAATGGATGATTTGGAGCAGTGGTGGCGAACCTATGGCACGTGTGCCAGAGGCGGCACTCAGAGCCCTCTCTGTGGGCACGCGTGCCATCACTCCAGCCAGGCCCAGACCGTCATTAAAGTGTGGAATTCTCTGCCAAAGTAAATGAAAGCATTTGGGATTGCTTTCCTTACTTTGTTTGTATCATCTTATGTTAATGTATGAGTTGGTTTTTTTCTAAACTAAAACCTCAGTATTCAGGTTAAATTGCCGTGTTGGCACTTTGCAATAAATAAGTGGGTTTGGGGTTGCAGTTTGGGCACTCAGTCTCTAAAAGATTTGCCATCACTGCTTTGGAGCATAGACTCTACAGCAGAGGTGTCAAACTCATTTGTTATGAGGGCCAGATCTGACATAAATGTCACTTTGTCAGGCCGGGCCTGTGTGTCATAAAATCTAAAGCCTAGTACCAGAGATATAAACTTTATAAAGGACACAGGCAAACCCAATGAACAATATTATTTTTTACTCAAAATTCAAACAAAAGCAATTGATTCCTAGCAGTGAAAGCAATTGTTTTACTGGGGAACCCACAAAAGCCCCAATAAATGTGTTTAATCACATGCAAGATTAGGTTTTTTCCAAGGGATACTATAAAAAGAGAAGTACCATACATTTCCATACATACCAGTTGCTTGAGGGCCGGTTAAGAGACCTGGGCGGGCCTGTTCCAGCCCCCAGGGCCTTATGTTTGACACCCCTGCTCTACAGCATTGTATCCAACCAAGGTCCCTGCCCTCTCCAGGCTCCATCCCCACATCTCCAGGAGTTTCCCAGCCTGGATCAGGCAATCCTACCCCCCATCCCCTGCCGGTGGCCATAGGGGACCTGGTAACCCTATCTACCACTAAGCTACCACCCCTCCCATAGAGGTGATCTTTCTGCTACAGCTTGATATTAATTTCACTTTTCCCCCTACTTTGCCCCAAGAAAGGGCTCCAGATGGGCTGCCACCTGCCCTTATCTTTAAGAACATTCAAACAGTGCTGCTGGGTGAGACCAAAGGACACCTTGGCCCAGGATTCTCTTCGCCACAGCAGTCAGCCAGATACCCCCAGAAAGCCTGTAAACACGACACAAAGGCAGATGCCTCCCAGTGCCCCCTCTCAGCAGCTGGCACAGAGGCTACTCCATCTAAACATGGGGGTTGTGTTTAGCTAGCAAGGCTCAGAGCTCCCAAACATACTTGCCCAGCCTGCTTTTAAAACCATCCACACCAACGACTACCAACACATCTCGTGGCAGAGGCTGCCGTCCACTTCCTTTCGTCTGTGCCAAGTCAGCTAACAGCCAGTTTTATTTTTAACCACCTAGTCTTGTAAGCTGAACTCCAGACGACAGACAGTAAGCTGCTCAAGGCCACCTAGCAAGTGGCCAGACCCAACATCAGATCACTCAGAACAGACACCACCCAACTGTCTTTTGAGTTTCTGGTAGCTGTGACCTACAGGCACTGAAGTCACCTCATTTTACCCTCTCAACAACCCTGTGAAAAGAAGAAAAAACCCCAATGCATAGCCTCCCAGTGAGCTTCAAAGCTGAACGGGGATTTGAACCCAAGCCACCATTTCCAATCCCGTGTTCTGCCAATGACAACACGCTGGCCAGGAGGACCATCAAGCTCTGCATGCACCTCTGATAGCACCAGCCTTGAAGAACTTACCAAACGCCTGCAGCTTCCCTGAATGGAAGTCGTTCAACAGGTTCAAGAGCCCCCCCTCCATTTCATAGACATCTGAGACATCCGTCAGGAACGAGTGCTGCAGAGGGGTGCCCACCGTGGTCCCCGTGCTGCCTGCAGGCTGTGGGGCTCGGGTCTTCTCTTTGTTTGCTCTGCAACAGACACAAAGGACAATAAGAAGCAAAGCCAGCCTGGGAGACAGCAACTGACATCACTTCCCCTTTCCTTTCCAAGGAGGCATGCTGCCAGCAGGGCCGGCCCAGTGCAATCCACTTCCTTGTGCTAAACGGCCATCTGAGACTTTACATGTGGAGGGCAGTGGCCAAGAATCTCCTTACAGGGAGTAAGTGATGCAGCCCAAATGACAGGATGGCCTCATGCAGCCTGGGCTGAAGGACTTCTGAACACCTTGCCTTCCACATGTCTCTTCCAATCCCAGATTAACCCACATAAACCCAAGGCAGTCTGTGCCACAGGCACAGAGAAGGAGGAAGGAAGGTGCTCTACACTAAAGAACATGCAAAACAGACACATGAGTCAAGAAGTCAAACACATCTCCACAGGACGGTGAAGCACACCATGACCCCCATCCAAGGTCACAAGGCAACCTGACCTCCATGGGATCCAAGACATAGTTATTTTTTCTCTAGTTTACCAACACAACAACCCTTTGAGGTAGGTTAGGCTGAGAAAACACAACAGGCCCAAGTTCCACTTGGAGAGTATTTGAACATGGATCTTTCCAGTCCTAGCCTAACACTCTAACCACTACACAGCACTGCCTCTCATTCATTTCAGTGGGGCCTAGGTAGGGTTGTGCCATGTGGGCCCTGCCAAACCTGCCATATGGGGAAGCTGCCCCACTGTGTACTTCATCACAGGGTCACCTCTGTCCAGGCTGGTATCTGGACCTCAGAAGCTTGGTGGTGGTGGTGGGGGCTGCATTTTATTTACTTTATTTATACCCTGCCTTTCTTCCCAATGGGGACCAAAAGTGGTTTTTCAGTTCTCTGTTTTATTCTCACAATAACCCTGTGAGGTAGGCTAGCCCGAGAGTGTGTGACTAGCCCAAGGTCATCCAGCCAGCTTCCATGGCAGAGTGGGTTTCCCAGACCCTAGTCTGACACTATAACCACTACACCATGCTGGCTCCTCCACAATCAAAACACTTCAGCACAACTATAAGAGATCCCCAGGGCATTGAACATAATGTTTTTACAGAACCCCCAAACGAACTTTGCTCTCACAGCTTCTACAGAACATTACCAAAGATTTTTTTTTAAAGAAAGGCCTCATATCTGTGCACCTTAAGCTGAGTACCCCTAAACATGTGCAGAGGTCTCTTCCCTTGTGAAAGAGTCTAGCTTTTGTAAAAATGGTTTGAGGACAGCCTTTCTAAGCACATACAAACTGCCTTTTTTCATGGAAAGTTATTTTAAAATCCACATAAGGGCAAAACAGCTTTGAGAGTGGGCAAAGAATCCCACTAAAAGCACATAAGAGAGCTAAGCAGGGCCAACCCTGGCAAGTATTTGGATGGGAGACTGGCCTGTAGCTACAGTGGGGCATTTCAGGGCCCCGCCCCCTCAAACCCAATGCACGTCCCACAAAAGCTGTTGCCCCTCTCTCCCCTCCCCTCCTGTGGCATTAAAAGGGCCCTCCAGCTGATTGGCAGGAGCACATGGCCCGCCAACCAGATGGAGGGCCCTTTTAATCTTGCAGCTGCCCTGCTAGGGAACCCTTTAAATGCTGTTTTTCTAGCGGGGGGGGGGGGGCGCATGCTTTCCCTGAACTCCAAGTGGCGATTTCACCACGTGGAGATCAGGCGCGAGCAGCCCCTTCTAGAAAAACAGCATTTAAAAGGAAGCCTTTAAATGCTGTGTTGTTGTTGTTGTTGTTTTTTTGGGGGGGGGAGCGGTCGCACACTTTCCCTGATCTCCAAGTGGCAAAATCGCCGCTTTGAGATCAGGGAAAGTGTGCAGGCCCCCCCCCCCCCAAAAACAGTATTTAAAGGCTTCCCTTTAAATACTGTTTTTCCAGCAGGGGCTGCCTGCACCTGATCTCCAAGGACAAAATTGCCCCTTGGAGATCAGGGAAAATGTACCCCCCCCCCAAAAAAAAAGACAGCATTTAAAGGGTTCCCTTTAAATGCTGTTTTGGCCAGATCTCCAAGCAGGGAATCGCAGCTTGGAGATCAGGGAAGGCATGCAGCTGCCCCTCTCCCTTCCCCCTCTTGTTACCGCACAAAATTTCCCCATGCCCCACCAATCAAAGATTTCTGGCTATGGGGCTGATGGGGGACCTCCAAGGAATACCAGGGCCGGCAGGCCAGAGGCAGGCTATCAAGCCACTGCTCTGAACAACCTCCATGCCCCAGTAGGAGTCACCAGAGGTCACCATGACTCCCAGGTATGGGCCCATGCACGCACACACACAATGCAAAAACAAAAACCACCAAAAAAACCCACAGAAAATACCCCCACACACACTTTTCTCCTGGCTTTATGTTTGGAAGCTTGCTAAAAAGCAATTCTGTCTGATGTATCCAATGAAGGGAGCTTTGACTCTTGTAAGCTTAAACCCTGGAAATCTTTTTGGTCTTTAGGGTGCTATGAGACAAAGATCTAACCCTATTCAACAGGCTTCAGGTTCAAATCCTCCACACCAAAGAAACTGTTGAGCTCTGTCCTAATCCTGAACTGACCTCTTGAACTTGGCTCTTTGTTTAGGTGATGGAAGGTGAGGCATCCCCAGGGAGAAGGAGGTGCTCTTGCTGGCAGGGACGGGCAGCTTGCGCAAAGCACCGGAGGGCACCGGCTGTGCCAGGTGGGGCTTGGGGCTCCTTTTCTTCTTCTTCTCTTCCATCTCTCAACCGGTCACGTGTCTCAGTTATCCACAGGGAAGGCCTGGTGGGGGGCACCAGAAGCAAGACCAAACTCGAACTACAGGCAATACTGCAAAAGAAACAAAGAACAAAGCTGTTAGCAATGATGCCTGTGGACCTTTCACAAAAAGAGGCATAATATCTCTGAGTACCAGAATCTGAGGAACAAATTACAGGGGAGGGCTGTTTGGTTGCCAACGACCCCTCCCAGGTTTCTCCGGAAAGCGCCGGTGGAAGCGTTTGAGGGCGGAAACATGTTTCTCTGCCACTCATTCTCTGTGTTGTGGCCCAAAATCCTTCCATTCAACCAAATAAAAGTTTATTTCGCTTCAGCTTAGAGTCCAATATATCAGCAACTTCATGATGTGGTTCGCCTTGCATGAGCAGTGGAGGGGGGCAGGGTCATTGCGGCTGCCACACATTTGGCCCATGATCACAACGGAGAAGGCTGAAATGGAAAACGCGATGCAAATGTCTCAGGTTTTTAGGCAATTCAAGTTCCACAGCCACCTCATTGATCTTACGTACAACCTTAAACGGCCACACAAATTTCCACCCCAATTTTCGACAGGGACGTAGTCCTTTAATGTTTTGGGTAGACACATAGACAGAGTCTCCTGGCTGGACATCCCAGCAGTCAGATCGTTTCTTGTCAGCCTGAACCTTGTAGGATTGTTTTGCAGCGTCCGAAGTCTTACACAATACTGGCCAGGTGTTTTTCAGGCGTTAGCACCATTCCCCCACTTCCCCCTCTGGGAGTGGGTTGTCAGACAGGAACGGGAGAGGCCTGGCCTCATAACCATAAACCGCCATGAAAAGAGACACCCTAGTGGATGAATGACAGGCATTATAATAACAAAATTCAGCCAGGGGAAGGAGACCCTCCCAATTGTCCTGTTGGAAGTTAGTGAAACACCAGAGGTATTGTTCAAGGGTCTGATTTACCCACTCTGTTTGCCCATCAGTCTTGGGGTGGTAAGCGCTACTAAGCCTACGTTCCACCCCCAGCAGCTTCATTAATTCTCCCCAAAACTTAGAAACAAATTGCGTTCCGCGGTCGGAGATTATCTTCCACGGCAAAGTATGGAGGCGGAAAATGTGCTGGAGGAACGCCTTAGCCAGGAGGCGAGCCATCGGTAGCCTGTTTCAAAAACAGATCCACTACCACCCAAATTACAGTTTTCCCCTTGCTAGGGGGTAAATCCATGATGAAGCCCATAGAAATGATTTCCCATGGCCTCCCCGGGGTGGGAAGAGGTTGTAAAAGTCCCGGAGGCTTCCTCGGGCAGGGCTTGCACATGATGCAGGTCTGGCATGACTGAACAAACAGGGAGAGATCCTTCCGCATTCCAGGCCACCAGAATTGCCGTTGTAGCAAGTGCAATGATTTGACAAACCCCAAGTGTCCTGCTAGTTTCGTTCCATGGACGGTGGCCATAATTTCACCCCTTAATGCCAAAGGAACGAACAATTTGTGTCCACGATAGCAACAGCCATTTGCCCGTTCCTCCACATCCCCCACCTTCCCTAATTCCATGTGGTCAGCATCAGAAAGGGCGGAGGCAAACTTTATTTTCCAACCGGAGTTGGTCACAGGAGTTTTTTGGGCTTTCGCTTGGCCATGCGTCAGAACCACCCCTCCCAATTGCGAAGGCATGAACATTGAATCGAGCACGCCCTCCCATTGGCTGTTGTGTTGTGGAAGGTGGGACAGTGCACTGGCCAACAAGTTAGATTTCCCTGGGAAATGGTGCAAGGTGAAATTAAACTTGGAAAAGAAGTCAGCCCAGCGAAGCTGTTTAAGCTTTCAGATTCTGAGGTGTTTGCATCACCTCCAAGTTTTTATGGTCAGTCCACACTTCAAACGGGACCCTCGCTCCCTCCAACCAATGTCTCCAGGTAGAGAGCGCTAATTTGATAGCTCCTGCCTCCTTGTCCCAAACTGACCAACTAATTCTTATATTCCCAGCCCTCTTCTTCCCTATTGGTCAATATTGGAGCCAAAACTTCCCAAGACCTTCTGGGGTTTGTAGGCCCAGCCTCCCCTACTGCTAGCCAGGCTCCCAGGGGCTAGTAGGCCTCTGGTGGCACAGCCCAGATCATGACAGAGCCCACTTCATTGGATGTATGAAGTGACTTCTCTGGGCAGCAAATGTGCAAAACTTAGAAGAGTGGGGCTAAAAGACTCTGAAGCCAGAGGCAGATGTCTGGGGCATTTCTGTGCAAAACTAATCAAAATAAGCACAGTGATCATTGGCAACAACTGTAATCCAGGATATAACAGTCTACCTGGTTACGACAAGCAATTTTACAACACTCATGGTTAAGAGCCATCTCTGTTAAGAAGAGGGTCCCTGGTTAACAGAATTACTAATACTGTTGAATCAATTATAATTTAACAGTCTTCGGCCGGAGTAACCCTTTAAAGCTTCTTGCTTGACTTTCAGGCCAGCAACAGATAATCTGCTTCCCCCCAGACACCACTTCACAGCGCTGCTGAGGTGGGTTCTCTAGCCAGGGACACTTCTGCCACGAAAACCTGCTTCAGGCGCCACAAGGAGGAGTCCGCCTTTTCGGTTTAAGTAACCCCACCCCACCCCCGCCTTTTCGGTTTAAGTAACCCCACCCCACCCCCGCTAAATGCTAAGGAGCAGACCTTTAAAAATAATTTAAAAGAACAATCACGCTTCCGCGCTAATATAACTACTACTCAGCTCAAGAATCTTTTGCTCGTCTTAGCATCCTATACAGAAACAAGGAAAGGCAAAGAGGGGGAGGGGGCTGTTTTGACACAGGGAAGGTTGCGGGGCCACCCCACCCCCGCTAAATGGTAAGGAGCAGACCTTTAAAAATAATTTAAAAGAACAATCACGCTTCCGCGCTAATATAACTACTACTCAGCTCAAGAATCTTTTGCTCGTCTTAGCATCCTATACAGAAACAAGGAAAGGCAAAGAGGGGGAGGGGGCTGTTTTGACACAGGGAAGGTTGCGGGGGGGGGTGTGTGCGACAGCTGGCTGTTGGGCTGTATCGATGCGAGCCCCGCCCCCGGCCTGCCTTCACCTGGAAGAGTTCAGCTCTCCTCCCCCCCCCCCCCCCCCCCCCCCCGCGGTCCTAACCAGAGCGCACCTCCCGGGCCGGCGGATCCAGAACGAGCAGACGGAGGCCGGCACTAGAGGGCCAAGCTGACCTCCGTGCAGACGGAGGCAGGAGTAGTAACAGCAGCAGCGGCGGCCCCGAGGACAAAGAGGCCGCTCGCGTCAACCGAGGCCCAGAACCCTTCTAAATGTGAGAAGCCCGATTTTGCCTTGGCTGAGGATCGCTCCCGCCCGGCTCTTGCTGGTTTGGTGGGAAGAAATACCTTTGGACCGGCGACGACACTGGACCATCCGCACGCCGGGATTTACGAGATCTCGGATCTGCTAGGCTCTCTGCCATGCCAGCCCCCTGGCCCGCTTTCGTTGGAACCTTGAGCTCAAATCAAGAGAGCCTCCAGGCACGCGCAGAGTGCACCTCCACCGGTGACTTAACCAGACCTCACCCGGCAAGGGCTGCTACCCTGCCCCCCCCATGCTTCTTAACTGCTGTCTCTGTCTCTCACGTACACACAAAGACTGCAGAGCTGCAACTGGGACCACCCCCTTTATGCCCCCTCCCCGTTTCGCTAAATTTCCTGCTAAAAAGGAACCTTATCACCTTGAGCCAAATAAAAACGTGAGGCCACCACTCAGAATGAGATTCCTTGGCATCAGGCTTACCCCAAACTTCGTTTTTAGCACCAAGTCCTTAAATTTACCTCCAGCAGAGGCACCACCCCCTGGGGGGGGGTGGCAGAGGGCAATGGATGGGTAAGGCATGGGTGTTTTGCAACCCAAATTTTGACATAGAGCACCCCATTCTGCAAGCACCCAGTTCAGAAACATTTTGGGCTAGAACTATTAAGCAATTCTTAGAAGGCTGTGATTTAGGTAACTTAAGTTTGGGGAGTAGAAGCACACCAGCTCCATGAACAACTGTGCATCTGTGTTGAATAGTAAGGACCTGTACCAGTGCAGCTCTTTTCCAAAGTCAGTTATTTACTGGAATCAGCCTCTCTTATGTTTCAACCCTATAGGGTTCCTTGTAGCAGGCAGGCATGGCTGGTATCACACTGACCATACACTACTCTACTGCTGAAGCTAGTCCGGTTCAGTGGCTGGGTGGAAGGCTTCCTGGGGTACCCCCTTCTGGAATGCCAGGGCTGAAGGCAGGCTGTACATGGAGTAGGGAAAGTCATGGGCCTACTCTGCTTAACACAGAAGGCTGATGAAACTTCTGCTACCTTCTTAGTAAAATGCTTAATTACAACTAGAAGGGGTGGATGTTGTACACTGAGGGAAGCCCAATCTTTCCTTCAGTGAGAGCTACTTCTGAGTAACAAATAAATCCCAAACTACCCACCCTCAACATGTTACAAAGTTTTGCTCTGTCCTAGGAATAGAACATGGACGATGAAGGGCCCCACAAAGGAAGCTATCAACTGAACTGTGCAGAAGAAAATCCTATAAAAGCTTTGAAAAAGACCTAGATCAGATCTTTTCTTGGGTCTTCTAGGGGATTTAGCTGGTGAGCTACCAGTTGGAGAACCCTGCTCTTCAGTACTAGGGTTTCTAACACTTTCCCTGGGATCTCTCTTTAGCAGCAGTACTAAGCCCTGAGCAACCTCAGCATAAAGCGGAGGAAATTCATCTAAAGCCACTGATACTGTAAATTAAAGGGACTTCTGGACTTATAGAACACAAAACCACTACAGGCTTTCACAGCAAGCTGTTTTGGGCACTAGAAAGCCAGTCTCAGTACAGTGTGACTGGACGGAAGCCTGTTGTGTTCAGAGAAAAACCAAGCGTGGTACAGTGATTAGAGGGCAACGATATCCCTGCTATGCCACTAAGCTTGTTGGAGGACACTAATCAGCCACTCTTTGAATGCAGCATCCCTCAGAGGTTTGCTCTGAAGAAAAAATGAGGAAGAACCATTTATGTGACCCCTGAACCGCCTGGGGGGAAGGGTGGTATTAAAAAAAAGTACTAGAAAGAAATATACAACATTAGTTTAATTTATATTGTAGTATAAATAGCAGGATATCACCCTGTATTTCAGCATATAATTAAACAGTCCAGGCTGGAAAATCCCAACAGCCCAAGGATCTGATTTTGAAGCTGAAGAATTCTGCCATTCCCTCTAAGCTGCACACCACCCACTTTCAGATTCTCAAAAATTTAAGAAGTCAGCCTTATACAAACTTGTAATTTTTTCAAAGCCCAATTAAGTCGGCCAATTCAAGATTCATCCATTTCTCTGAAAGAATACACAGGAAACGATACAAACCGTGCAAGCCCTGTCGAAACGTTGGAACTAATTAGGATGGAGTCTAGGAATGGCTAACTCCATAAAAGTTTCAAAACCAACCTTGCTGTTCAAAGTGGAAGAAGATCGATCCAAATGTGTAATTGAGTTTGTTTGTACTGGATACAAAAGATACATACAACATTTCTGGGTATAGCCTATCTGTACCACACCTGTTATAAATGTTCTGAAAGTTCTCTTGAAAGAGGAAGAGCAGAGAAATAACTGGATAGAGGTGGGCAACTCCCACTCAATAGTCACCTAAGATCCAAGTTGTGGTCCCCATTACATCCACTTTGCTTGCTTTTTGCCAGCTCCACCAAACGCCAGAAGCCACTGTGATGGGATCACCACCTCCAACAAAGGGCCCAAGGAAACAAAAGCGAACCCTCAAAAAATGGGGAAGCTGATCTGTTCATTTGAACTGTGTCAAATGAACGATGAAACCTGGTGGTCTAACGCAGAAGCTGAACTACTGAGATTGCTGAGTCACAGGTATATGTGTGCCTCCCACAGACTGGCTCTCAACAGCTCACAATGCAACACACACCTGGAGTGCAAACAGCTCTGCAAGAAAGGAATGCTAAACCTAAAAAAAAAAGGGGTCCAGAAAGGGAGAAGCTACCTTTCACAAAGAGAGGTGCCAAGGGCTAACACACAAAAGATGAATCTGTGGCTGGTTGTAAGACTGGGAACAAAATGCATGACAGTAAAGTAGGCCCCACAAAAGTGTGCTGAAACCAGCAGAGGAATTATTAAAGACTAAACGGAATATCTTTTTGTCTCCTCCACAGGACTCTGCAGAAAGGACGGCCCATTAAGAGTGCAGTGAAGGTAACAAATGCCATAGTCACTGTGGCCAAGCTCCAGACAGCAGCAGGCCTCCAGGTCTGTGTTTGTTACTCAATGGTGTATGGAAGGGGAGTCAAACTGTGTCGCCCTGTGACTTAGTACCAAGGCCCCATGGAGAGGAGGATAACACACCAGGGTAAGCTACCCCTCCCCCCCCCCCCCTCCAAGGATTTGTTGCGCACAGACAGGCGCATGGACATTCATCTTGTGCAAAACACTTAAGTAAAAACCTTTGGATTAAACCTTTAATACATACGCTTGTGCGTGTGTGCATATAAGCATTGAGGCAACGGTGAAGTTATAAGGCTACTGAGACAAAGATTCTGGAAGTAGCAAAGTCCTGGAAGGGATTACCTCCTCTCCCCAAACTGACAGGGCTCCATGGCCTCAATCTCTTGTTTCCCCATGAAACAAAACCACAATGACTTTATTCTCTTCTTTTTTAAAAAAAGACAATCTCAAAATTCAACAACTCGCAACATACCAAACTCCTGAGTCTCCTGTACTGGTTTAAAATTTGGGGGCTGTATCCCCCCCAAAAACAAAAAAACAACTTTTAGGAAGGGGGGGAAAAATCCTCCAAGCCCCTGTGATGTCCACTTTTTGCTTTACATTTGTATTTATAGCATAGCACCCAGTAAGCTACAGGGGTCAAACAGACGCCACTACTGTGGAATGGGTGAAATAGGGGTGAGAGGTTTGCCCCAGGCCATCCTTCAGGTTTTTGAGTGACACTGCCTTATATCTTGAGGTCACACAACCCATAGCAAAGTGGATCAATCTAGTTTCTCTCTCTCTCACTCTTTCTATATATATATAAAAAGTGGGGGTTGCCCTGCACAACTTTGTGTTATATATAGATTTGTTTAAAAAAGCAACCCAAAAAAAAAAAGCTTTCAGTATTGTGAAAACCTGTAACTGGAGAATCTCAAAGAGGCCCAGGGGGGCTGAGCTCTCACCCCCAGCCCTGGCTTCAGGAAAGGTGACTAGATCAGTCTCTTGAAGTTTGCTAGTCAGCCTCCCTTCCTCCAGCTTCACTCAACAGAATTTGCAGCTGCCTCTGTCTCTTCCCGAGCTTGCGCTCCTACGCTTGGTTCACCAAGGATCTCAGCTGGTGGTCCTGTGCAGCACCCCGCCTGTGCCAGAGGAAGGTATTCCCCCACCAGTGTGCCCTGTGGTGCCAGCTCCTCTGAGCTGCCTGGCAATTGGTCCTTTGGTGGTTCCAGGGTGCCCATGTCAGCCGATGGACAGGCCAGGGCACAAAGGTCTTGCACCTTCTTGTTCAGGTCATTGCGCTCCGTCTGCAGGGCTCGGCACAGCTTCTCAAGACGCTGGATTTTCACCTGGAGCCCTTCCAGCTCTTTGTCCCGGAGGGTTTTCTGCAAGGGAAGAGGAGGATCAACTCCAACTTGCTTTCCAAAGTAGTGGAGACCAAAAACAAAAAGGAAACCTCTAAGAAGTCACTCAAAGAAAGCCACTCACCCACCTTCAGTGGAAGTATTAATAAATGAACTGGGGAAATGGCCACCAGTTGGCACTGGGGAACTAACAGCCTGGGGTCCAATCAATGCCTCTCCCTCCCCACCCACTGGCCTCGCCCCAAATGCCTGGGCCTAACATCTTTAAGCCCTGATCCCATCAGATCTCAGACGTTAAGAAGGGTAAACCCTGGTTAGTACTTGGATGGGAGACCACCAAGGAAGTCCACGATTGCTATGCAGAGGCAGGCAATGGCAGGCCAACCCTGTTCCTCTCTTGCCTTGGAAACCCTACGGGGTCAGCTGCAACCTGACAGCACTTGCCACCACCAACATCCTTAAACTTAATTTAAGTTCAATAGTACCTTAGAGACCAACAAGGTTTCAGGGTATAAGCTTTTGAGAGTAAGCTCCCTTTATCAGATACCCTGAAAATCTTGTTGGCCTCGAAGGTGCTACTGGACTCAAATCTAGCCCTTATACTGCAGACCAACATGGCTACCCTCCTGAAACTATCCTTAAGTTTGCAGAACAAAACAGTTTTAGGAAAAGGGACAGAAAATAGCAGCACTATTCATTCCCCAACCGCTGGAACAGGCATAGTAGTTTTGTGCTTTAGACCCTCATCTGAGTCAACTGACTTAGTCAACCATGGCTGGCCCAGGGGGGGGGGGGGGGGGGAATCATTCTCAGGCAGTCTCTCCATAGGATCCCCCTAAGTTAGAAGTGACTTGACAGCAAGTAAAACATAATGCACACTCTCCGATGACGGGCCAGCAACCAAATTTTAAACAAGGGAATTGGGAGTTAGCCTCCAGGTGTTGCATTAGCAGCAACAAAATCCCAGACTATGCATAAAGGGAAGCCTAATTCAGTGCACAGAATATCCCAAAATGACCACAGATGTGACTGATAAACTTCTAGAGAACTGGGTACTGTGAGCATACACTAGCGTTTCACTCCCTCATTGTTGTGAATCATTCCACCTCCTCAACTGAAACCTTGCGATGTTCAGACGGCTCTGGTGTTCAAGGGGTGAAATGTGTCCCTAATACACCCCTCCCCCAAGTCTTGTCCCCACCTCTTCTGCCATTTCCAGAAGAGCCTTGTTGCTGCTTTCCCAGCGAGACCTGTACATTGTGGTCTCTTTCTCAAGCTTCTTGATTTTTTTTGTCATCTGCAGAATTGAAAACCAGGGAGAGAAAGGGCAGGAAAGAAAGAGAAAAAATTAACATAAGCCAATTCCAAATAGATTTGCTTGACCTCAAAGGGCAACAATACAGTCTCATGCATTTCTCCCACTTCCCCGTACCATGGCAACTACCCACATTCTCAGCAGAAAATATGACAGCTGGGCCTGGAAAACCAAAAGACACTGCAAGCAGCAGTTGGCCTGGCACAGGGGATGCCCAAGGCAGCAGGCTGGGAAGTGAGTGAGCTGGCACACTTTACAGGTCAATTCTCCCTGGATTTATGTAGAAGCACAGTAAATATCAGCCTCTGCCAGAGCAGAAGATGCTTTCCCACCACCTTGAAGCTGCAGCAGGGACAGACAGGAGGCTCCTCAGCCCAGGCACAAGGCACGCAATACCTTCTCCATTTCTTGCTTGAAGGTGGTGAACACCTCACTGCTTTTGGAAAGGGTGTTCTGAAACTCTTCAAATTTCTCTGTATAGAGGGCCAGCTGGAAAGAAGGATAGGACACATTTCAACTAACGCTGTAGCAACCCACCAAGGTTTAGATATGGAAAAACCACAAGCTGCTTTTGCTCTAGACTTTAAGGCACAATTTACTTTAAGCATAGCAAAGTTCTGTACCATCCTTTCCAGGAGGAGGAGGAGGCAGACCTGTCTAGCACTTGGCTTGAAAATCAAGCTAATCATCAGAAACAATAGTGACCACCTCCAACCAGCTTAGGAGAAGCAGGCAACAATCCCCATCCTCCACTTGCAGCTGCTGGATGACCTTGGCCAAGCCATAGTTCTGTCAGAGCTGTTCCTGAAAAAGCAGTCCTTGAAACAGCTCTCTCAGCCCCACCTACCTCACAGGGTGTCTGTTGTAGGGAGGGGAAGGGAAAGGAGTTTGCAAGCCGCTCTGAGACTCCGAGTGAAGGGCGGGGTATAAATCCAATCTCCTTCTTTTCTTCTTAACCTGCCACCACTGACCAATTCTGCCAGCAGACTGGAAAGAACATTATCCCTCTCCCTTTCTAGCAGAAAACAGATTTGTCCTTTTTTGGCCAGAGAAAAAGACAAACACCCACCTGCTGCTTAAGATGGGTCTCCTGTTGCTTCATCAACTCACACATTCTCTGGGACTCCACAGCCTCTTTCAACAACTACAAGAAAAGGAATGGTGGTGAAAAGAAGTCAGAAGAGACATTCACTCCGCACAACAGCACTGTATCTTCTCTCCATCCCCTTACCATTCACATAATAATTTAGGAGGTGTGGGGAGGGCTCATTACCCAACTGTACCCATGGGGCTGCACTGCTGCCTGTAGTTGTGGGGCAGTGTAGGCTAAACCTATTCTAGCAGCTAAGACCTGAGTAGAGGTGCATGCATGGGGAACAGATCCCAGTTCATGGACCCTGTGCCCTTTTCCCCTAGCTGTGCTGTCATGAGGATCCAGGGAAAGCTGATTCGATCTAATCTCTTGTACTCCTGCCTGCTTGATCCAGGCACACAGATCTAGGTGAAGCAAGACCCCGTCCAGGATACTAACCTATGTAAACAGGAAGGCCCTCCTCCCTGGTTTCGGTGTTGTGTGTGTTTAGTTTTTATTGGATTACCTTATATATACCTTATTTTAAATGTTGTTTTGTTATTGGAATGTTTTAACGTTTCCCACCTTGGGGACCCTAATTGGGTGGGAAAGACAGCATAGAAATGTGTTAAAATAAAGATACAACTCTCCTTGCACCTTCATGGACTTGGTCTGAGTCCAAGGGAATATGCATGACTGACTGGCTGCCTAGGGGCTGCCTTCTGATCTCTTCCCCACTCTTTGAGGCTAGCCTGAGTCCTGGAAGCCTGACTGGCTGAGGCAGGAGGGGTTACTCTCTACCACATCATGGCATTTTAGAGGTTCAAGGGCTGGAAAAGTGTCCAGCAGCATATGCAGCCAACCTGAAGAGTGGAGTAAAATAAAGCCCATTAGGAGCTTTGTCCTACTGATTTGGGGGAGACAAGGGCTCCAGTAAGGCCACCAGCAGGCACTCCTGCCACACCTCCATGGGCTTTTGCCTGCACCTCCACAAGGCTAGGCCCTACAAACCTGTGTGAACTGCTGTCAGTTTGCTTTGGCAGTTAAGCAAGAGACACACAGAAGCTGTGGCACCTTTGCAAGAGCATTTTTAATCATTCCTTTTTGTCCTTTACATCCCCCTGAGCACTAACAGCATGGACACAGAACAGAGATGTGAAAATGTCCTGCTTCTGCAGAGTGGGCATGTACTGGGTATCTGCCTCGCAGAATGGAAATGGAAGCACTCTGGAAGATCCTTGGCTGAACCCTCCCTGTGGTCCAATCTTTCTTGTAGAAGGATGCAGTATCTACCTCTTGCCTGAGCATCCTCTGACATTCACAGCTTCTCCAACTAGGAACCCAACAAAACCCATCCCCTTCTTTCCCTGACCACAATAACCCACTTCTTCCTGGCAGTTTCCTAACTTGCACTGAAAACATCACGTTTTCAATGATCCACAGCACTTTCCTTTCATACTGAGGTGGCAGTCAGACTTGGGCCTCCTCAGTCATCATTTAACAAAGACTCACAAAGTCCTTCTCTCGCTGGTGCCTCTCCTCAGCCTCCTTCAGCATCTCCTGGGCCTGCTGGAGTTTGGCATCCACCAACTGCTGCTGCAAGTCCTTGTGTTTGAAGACTTTGTCAATGTGCTGCAGACAAGAAAAGCAACAGTCAAGCAAAAGCAGTCAATAAATAATAATAATAATAATAATAATAATAATAATAA